TCCCTCCCTCCCTCCCTCCCTCCCTCCTTCCTTCCTTTTTTCCTTGCTTGCTTCTTTCCTGTTTGGTCTTTTTGAGACAGGGTCTCACTATGCAGTGCAGGCTGGCCTTAAGCTCACTTTGTAGCCCAGGCTGGTCTCGAACTTGCACTCCTGAGTGCTGGGATTACAAGCGTGTAACATCATGCCCAGCCAGAATAATGTATTTCTGTGTCAGAAAAATTCACTTAATCGTGCTGGAGCTCCAAGAAATCTGTTAAGCAAATGTTCCGGAATTCTGGGGTTTCTGGCAATTAAAGAAAGTAGCCCACCTTATCTGTGAAACATAGCTTTCAAAACCCAAATGGAACAGATGCCTGAAACCAAGGATGTTGCTGAACCATCTATGTATATACTATGTTCTTTCCTATATATGCACACCTGTGACAGTTTATAAGGTAGGTACAATAGATTAACTGAACTAATAATAAAGCAGGATAACTATAACAACAGTGGATAATGAGAGTTGTCTAAAATTTACGGATTGTTTATTTCTGTGATTTTTTTTTAATTTAATGTTTCCAGGCCATGGTTGATTTCAGGTAACTGAAACAGCAACAGTAAAGCTTGGAGTAAGGGGCATGAAGATTCACAGTACACGTCTAGGGTCTGCGATGACTCCATGAAGTACACCTTACTGCATAGTACCACCTTCACTAAGCGCTCACACATTCCTTTCTTAAGTGGCGAACCTCTGGGCCCAAGCTGCTCACTGTATGTCAGTGATTAGCTTTGCAACTTAGGACAGGTCAGTTGAGTTCCTTGGGCCTTCTGTTCTGATTTCTCACAGATAAGGGAAGTGATTTGGCGGGTCTTAAAGGTCGCTTGAGTCTTGGCCATCGTGAAGGAGGAGGAAGGAAGCGTGCATCGCAGGCAGCAGGTAGCTGCATCTGTGTGTCTGCACGTTTTGAGATTAACAAAGGCCGGATGCTCTCTGACTTACGATGGGTCCGTGTCCTGAAAAACCCAGAGTACAGAGAACATTTCTTAACTCAGTATGCAATTAATGGACTGAACCTGCTGAGCATCGCAGCGTAATAACACAGTGCAGTGCAGAGTTTGCTTGTTTTTCTTCATAATCGTATGGCTAAGTAGGAGCTGCAGCGTGCTATTGCTCGTACCACCTAGTGCTATCTTGGGAAAATAGTGAAGTTCAAAATACGGTGTTTACTGAAATCCTACTGCTTTAGCTCTAGCTTTTTCTGCATGATTAATTTGCGAAATTCTAACTTGAACCAGAACTTTTCTTTTATGGATTGATTGCTCATACTATGAACTTAGAACATTTTCCAGACTTTCTTTTCATTGGACGAAAGAGGTTCTGATAGGATATTTCAGAGTGGCAAGAAGGAAAGTTACAGCAAGCAGCCACGGGGAACAGGAGAGAGGGTTCAGGGTCAAGGCAGATGTAGCCAGATCCTTCGTGCCTCTGGAGCGGGATGCCTTGGGATCATCTTGAACTCTTGAACAGGCACTGAGGGGGTGTCCAGGCCAATGTTGTGGGCTCCTGTGCAGGGCATAGGGCGGGGAGTCCTTGACTCTGGGAGCACTGCCTTCTCAGGAAGAGGCCTGTAGTTTTGGGCAGGAGCCTAGATGGTGCCTTCACAGGACTTCTGCCTGAGCCCCCAACGTGGGATTGATAACTTCACCACTGAGTCATGATTGGGCACAAAGGAGGCAGAAATACCAATAGAACTGAACTATAAAATACAGAGACAGAGAAAAAGGGAGGGAGAGAGAAACAGAGACAGACCTGGTTTTAGGCAGCAATGAGAGGCCAGCTTCTTATAGCACGCTATGAATACATATATAGCTTGTAGTAACCTGTAGAGATTGCATTCATTTAAAATAGAGTGCAAAATGTGTTCAGTTAAAGATTATTATTTTTCCAGTCCAGCCTGAGGTTCTCATTCTGTTATTCCAGGATTACTTGGCATGTATCCAGGCATATATGCCTGTTTGTCCTTTACATATTTGTGTACATACGTATACATACATAATATTTACATATTTAATATGAGGAGAGGGTTTTGTTTCCCACTCATTATAATGCATTTTTTTTTTTGGTCTTTTGAGACAGGGTCTCACTGTGCCGTTCAGGCTGGCCTTACACGCACTTTGTCTTGAGCTTACAATGATCCTCCAGCCTCAGCCTCCCAAGTGCTGGGATTACAGGTGTGCGCCACCATGCCCAGATTTTTGAATTTATCACAGTTTGGAATTTTTAATAGTCTAGATTTCCATTACACACGTATGGAAGGCCAGGATTTGACATGATTTACGAGAGTCAAGACTTGTAGGCATTGTCATAGAAGGGTGACAGTTATGAAGCTACTCACCTGGGGCCAGATGCTAACCTTCTTTCAGTGTCTGCTGCCTAATGTCTTGCTAGGCCAAGTGCTTAGATTTTTGGCTTTGAAGTTTTTTTCTCCTTTTGGTTCATACTTCATGTCTGTAAAATGTTTTAAGCACTCAAGACACACAAGGACACACAAGTGCCAGAAAACAGGAGTGAGAAATGCTCAAGAATTCTTGCCAAGATCATTGGCCAGACTCGTAGGATACTTCAAAGTGTGTGTGTCAAGCTGTGTTCCCCGCGGTCTCTACAGCCCTTGGTTACAAGGCTGGCTAAGTTTGGGCAAAGGATTGGCTGGATATTCATCAAATGAGTATATGACATTTTTGTTACTTTTTGTGATTACGGATATTAATGTGAAAAAAATAGCTTTTGAAGAAACTCTCTGCTCATTGCTGGTTCTTTTCTTTTGAGACAGGGTCTTGCTGTGTAGTTCAGGTTGGCCTTTAGCTGACTGTATAGTTCAGGCTGGCCTTACACGGTGATCCTCCTGCCTCAGCCTTCTCATACCAAGGATCAGGTGTTAGCAGGTATAATATTGATTGGCAAATAGTTTCTTCCCAACTGCTTTTGTGGCACTTAGGAAAGAAATAAGCAGTTTTGGCTATAAAAGATAAAGAATTAATATCAATTTCAGCATTTCTGCCACGATTTTATCTTTGGAATTATAGTAAAAAAAATGTACTTCTTTATTTTAAGCTTTTAGCTGAACTTTAAGGCATTCTTTCGCATTTGAGCTTCTCTGACTTACTTTCCACCTTATATCCCCTCTATCTCCTGTGTGCCCAAAGTCCTGGCTTACCCAGGACATCTGCTGAGGTCCGCATAGTTCTCTGCTTCTCCCTTGCTGTACTGAGACTGGTGGATGAAGGGCTGCATTGTGGAGCAGTCCCTTCGCGGCGCGTGCCCTATGCGAGCTGTGAATGTTATCTGCCTCGGGTCCTCCCTTCTGAAGCACTCTTGACTTCCATCCACACGCACGTCCATCCTCCCCCAAACAAGCCTCTCCTATGGTCTGGGGCCTCCCGTGGGGGCCGCTGCTGCCCTTGCCCTGTTGGGGGCTCAGGCCTGTCCCTAGCAGCGCAGGGGCCCCTCCTTCACACCGCCTCTTCCAGAGTGAGCACCTGCCAGGAGGGCAGAACGTTTCCTTGTGTGTCTTGAATGCTTAAAACTTTTTACAGACATGAAATGTGACAGTTTGGAAATCGGCTTTAGTTTTTGAAGTAGTTTTAGGTTCAAAGCAGAACGGGAGGGCACAGATTCTCCTCTGTGTCCCCTGCCCCTGCGTGCACAGCTTCCCAGTCCAGCTGATCCTCCGAGAGTGTTCCGTGGTACACCTGCTCTGTCACAGCGTCGCCTCCCAGCGCTGTGGGCTGCCTTCAGCCTCCTTCTTGGTGTTGCACATCCTGATAGACAAGTGGACAGAGTTGTCCACTGTATTCTAGTGCACAACTGTATAGTGACATACGTTATGCAGAGTGTTTCCACTGACCTAAACATCTGCACTGGGGTTATTTAAATTTAAAATAATATTTCGCTATTTTTAAAAGCTACAGTGTCTTGCTATGCAGCTCAGACTTGTAGTGATCCTCCTGTCTCGGCCTCCCCAGCGATGGGATGACAAGCACCCCCCCCCCCGATTTCTGGGCCAGCATGGTACGATCTGGCATGGCATGTGGTAGCGGGGATCGAACCCAGGTCCTTGTATTTGCCAGGCAGGCACTTAGACGGCTGTGTTATCTCCCCAGCCCTAATATTTCACTATTTATTTTGCAATTTTCTAACTTGTAAAGTAGGAAACATTTCATTCAAATGAGTAATAAAGGCATTCTATATACATTGGATTGGGAGTTTATTTTTAAACAGTCTGAGGGCTGGCGAGATACCTCAGTGAATTAAAGCACCTGCTTAGGCAGATACAGGGACCAGACTTTGATCCCTGGTATGCCTACTAGCCCTGCCCCCTGGGGTGCACTGAGACCTCAATTTGAGAGTGGATTGGGTGTGGTGGCTCGTGCCTGTAATTCCAGCGCTTGGGGGGCTGAAAACAGGAGAATCACTGAGAGTCCGACCTGTGTAGTGAGACCCTGTACTAAATACATTTTTAAAAAAATCTGGGCACTTAAGTGAAGTGGGCTC